CACCACATCCAGCCCCTCTAATTTATATTGTTTGGGGTAGGCCTAGTGAGTTGAGTAGGAAAGCAAAGAAATGCTAGGCTCATCTTTAAATATAGGTCCGGCATATACACTGGGAATGGCACAAGGAAGCCTAGATTTGAGAAGTCTGTCTTCTTTCCTCATCTTAGTTAGGGAGGGCAGTCCTGTCCTGTGTGTGGCTGTGCTGGCAAAACCCGAAGTAAAGAGATACACTACTAGCCTAGGCCTAGCCTAATTTGGAAAATAAAGTCAATTTTAACAATTAAATTGCACTATCCAGACATTAATGCTTATCGTATTCTGCATTTCAAGACTGTTTAATTATTACAGCGGCATATAAAACACAAATTAAAACGCCCCAATTTGCTAGGCCGATGTATAAAATGCCGGTGACGTAAACCCACTGTAGTTCGGGCAGAGCCAAGCCAGCTCAGTACCTGCAAGTTCAATAATCTCTGCTCCCATAATTTAATTGCAGACATTTCTCAAAATATGTGACTTATACTTTCATAAATCAACTAGAATGTTTGTTTAAAAACTTACCCATTATTTAGAAAGTATGAGCTTTTTTTGAATTATAATAATAGTTAAATTAGAAAACTGAATTATTAATATAAATTAGAAGAACGCTAGTGGGCTAGCCTCCGTCAACGTGTCAATTGCTACATCACCTACTACACACTATTCGTTCGGATCCGCTGCCTGTGTATCGACGATGAGGTCATCGACGCGATGCGTCCAATTCTGGTTCCCGATCGAGAGCGATTGCGCTAGAGATACAAACAAATCCCCAGTTGCTTTTTTTTTTCTTTTTTTGTGGAGGAGGTTGCTTTTTTTCCCCTTTTTTTTGTGGAGGAGGTTCCCCAGTTTGTTTTTCTTTTTCTTTGGTTAGATTGGGGGGGGGGGACGCGGAGCGGTGCGGCCCAAGGAGATCCGGCTAAGAATGGAGCGCGCGTGTTTGGTAATGCTAAACTGTTTCTACTAGAGTAAGCTGTCTTACGTAAAATTAACATGTTCGGCCTTAGGCCTTTATATTGCGTTGGTCCAAATATGAATTTTATGATTAATCTGTATTGTGCAAGTAACATATATAATAATATTATTACAATGAGTATCATCATAATAATTGGTATTGGTATCTACTTCCTGACAATAATGATGATAATCGGATATATACAAATAAAAATAATAAAAATAATAATTAAAAAAATAATATTAATAATAATGCTAATACTGATAATACTACTGATAATACAAATAATAATACTAATAATAATAATAATGATAATAGTAATAATAACAACAACAATAATAATAACATTAACCTAATAACAATGGAAATATTCATAATAATACTCATAAGAATCTAGTTTTGTAATACGCCTTATTGTATTATTATTATTATTATTATTATTATTATTATTATTATTATTATTGTTATTATCATCATCATCATTATAATATTATTATCATTATTATCATTATTATCAATATTACCATTATTATTAGAGTATTATTATTATTATTATTATTATTATTATTATTATTATTATTATTATTATTATTATTATTATTAAGATATGCAAACGCTTTTTTCGCCGCCATCCCCGATTCCTCCACTCTGGGGGTGTTATGTAAAATAAAATTAATTATGTTCTTTTATAACAGATTTATGATGCGCATGCATAAGAACATAGAGGCTCTATAATACCTCTATAATAAGAGCCTGCAATAGGTTTTTTTTTTTTTTTTTTTTACGGCGAAAACTAGGCCTACTTAAACCTACACAGCATGTAACTCGATCAACTGGGAGTATCCATTGAAGGTACCGCTACGTTTTGAAATAATTATTCCAATAATTCAATACTGGTATCTAAAGCACCGTAATGCGACTTATGCAATGCTTAATATAGCGTGGGGACAAATTCGACTCCCATCGGACACAGAACTACGGTACTAATATTTAGGGATCGAGATCCTAAATCCCTTTAAAAAAATTTATCAAATTAATGATCAACTTCCGGCCCACATAAAACATCGAAATGCCCATTTTCGCTTCATGATGATATTCACTTGGAAATCCTTGGCAGCCAATGGTTTAAGATATTATATTAGTTTAAGATATTTATTGGCGGGGGAATGCTCTCGGTCGATACAATGTAAATAATTCATGTGTTTAATTTTCCGAGTTGCTCAACACTGATCTTTAAAGAAAATCTGTCGGTGAATGAAAACTAAGAAACGGTAATGCATGACTGACCAACTGCAGAGTCTGTTAGGACATTTGCGGCCAATCCAAATCGACAAGAATTTGAATAATAATTCAATTAAATATAATGAGTACCGTTGTCTGCTGTACATTTAGTTTATTGTAATTCTTCTTGGTTCTTGGGGTCGATTCCCTGTAGGCCTACAGCCGAAATCAGCCTCTAGGATGGATGTTATACTATGCGTCGGAGGAAAAAAAAAAAAAAAAAAAAAAAAAATTGAAAACAAATTGGTGGCGTCACATCTGAACGGAATAATTATTTAAAAGCAACAATGAAAAATATATTGGTTTGTATGTTTGTTATTTAATGAATTAGAGAAAATAAGATTTGATCAAGTCCATTAAGGATGATAAGCGTCCGACGAAGGGCCCATTGAAGTTCGTCAACATAGTTGAGATTCCCACCATCGCGCGTCATTAATTCGAAAAATCCATGAAACCATTGCGAACTAAATCACTCAAGATTTTATGTTCGCTCAAAGTTAAATTTACTGTTCCATTCAAATTGAGTATTAATTCACAAGTGTGTAGATTTTTATGATTTCAGTATTGCGGAGTATGAAACGAAACACGTTTTTTTTAGCACTTCGTTATTTATGTTATTATATTACACTTCCATAGACCAGAAAATCAAGACAACTTTAAAATTAGGTGTAAACGTCAGGGAAAGAAAGAAAGAAAGAAGGAAAAACAAGTTTGTCAATGCGTTTGCTCAGCTCCGAAGATTCTCTTTTGCCATTCTGAACTAAGTTCTTCTGTTTTATACCAGATATATCCCATCCAGAAACGACAACAGGCAGTTTCCTTTAATTAAGTTTGCACAGAAAGAATGATATCACAGTTTCAGATTGTTCATATATTATTATATATATATTTTTCCTGCATTTTTATTTACACTTTATTACCATTGTTATGAGATTTTAAGAGCGATAGTGTGAAGCGCGTTGCACACAAAGTGACAAAGCACCTCAGCTCTCTAATACTAATCTAGCGCCATCTGATTCCATTATTTCACGTTTAGCCTCTCCACTGACGTTCCATATTAAAAATCCAAGGGATTTTTCCCCGATATAAGAATATTCAATTGAATTCAGCCGCTCGAAGAAGAAGCGAAACGCCTCAAAAAGATTTTCTGCACCTTCCGTTCTGTTCTGCAGATAGTAAATTTAGCTGATTTCTCCGGTAACGTATATATTTTTTGATGTGTTTATGCTTTTGTCCGAATATAGTTATTTATGTACTTTCAATAAAAACGTGTTTTGTTTTCTGCTTGTTCGCTGTCTATGCATGATGAGCGAGCGTCAACCTTCGGAAGGCCTACACAATTGACTTTGTTATTGTATTGTTTGTATGGTGAGAGATGCGGAGAAGCTTTCATAATGATGGAAAATTATGTCATTTTCTTAGCGATTATATTTTAAATAATAACAATCGTAGCCATAGTGCAATCGTGCTAAGGTGACCTAACATGACGCTTCATGCCGTGTGAATGTCTGACTTGATTTCACATGAATTATCTTAGTATCTGCTCCAGTAATAATTATTTAATCGAATATGCCAAGATGTCATATCATCATAAACAATCTCTGTGAGTGTAGCAGTAAACAAATGTAGTAAAAAGTAATCAAAACGCCAGGCCTAGTAAGAGGTTATAATAATTTTTCAATTTTTTTCATGCACTGAGAATGTATAGAAATGATTAGATGCTATCTTTACCAATCCACAGCACGTACATAAATGCTAATTTCAATGATTCCTTATTTAGAAATGGTGCTCTGTCATTGGCTGCTTCATTGTCAGTTTCTTTTATTTTAACCACACCATGAATTCATCCATATTTAGAATCAACAAGCCGCATGTCATTCAGTCATTAAAATATTCTCAGCAAGCATATTGAGTCGATGAAACTTATACTTTTAAATCGTTTCATGATGCAAAAATTAAATATTAAAGTCTGCATGTATCAACTCAAGGAGGTATAAAAATATATACCTCCTTGATCAACTGAAGAGGAATTTTGTGTACATCAACATTGATTAGAGGGTTTGCCATGTGGGAGGAATTACTGTTCTCGTTTTAAAACATATTATGCCCAAGGAATGATGCGGTATTAATCCCTTTCACCCATATGGCCTGGAAATGGGTTGTTGATAGGGAAGGGGAATGACATGAAGATAAAATGGGGGATACTCGATGATTAAATATAAGGGGTTGCTAGAAGTGGCAGCTCTAGGATATATTTTCTGTGGGGGGCTAAGTTGTCCGACAGGGGGACTTGAGCTTGTAGGCTCGAGCTGGGTAAAGTGGTTGAGAGGGGTCCCCCCCTCCCAAATCCCAAATGAGATTTTTTTAAAGAATAGTAACCTCTGGATGGCCGGAAATGGCACTCTGAGACAGTGATAGACATGTGTTGGCTTGGTGTGGGCCTATTTTTATATGTTTCATGGTCTGACGCCCGACGAGCTCTGTCCGGTGGGGGACTTAAGCCCCCCTGTTCCCCAGCTGATGCCACCACTGGTTATTAGCTCACAAAATAAGGTGATGTGAAGTCATTTTTAATTAATTCAACATGATTTTTCAATGGGGGTCTGGTAGGGTGGGGGAGGGAGTGACAGGGTTGGGTGCAAGCTTTTTTTGGAGGGGCATTCCTCCTTCTGCAAACCCCTAAATATGCCATGGTTTAGTTATCCTCCACCCCACCGCATCAGCCTTGGACAGGTAAAAAAAGAAAAATTAAACATGGTTGTGGTTGACTGAGTGGTATGTCTATGGGATAGCAGTGGTACACACATTTCTAAATGAAGCTTGTACTACCCACCCCTGGTGCTAAGGTGGGTGTGGATTAGACGTCTGGGATTTTTAACCCTGTGTCAGAGAATCTTTGTGGTGCCACGACTAGGTGAAATCCTCATTCACTCCACTCACTCATTAATTAATGCACTAATGCACTCATTCACCCCACTCACTCAATATTGCACTCATTCACTACACTCATTCAGTATGCACTCATTCGCCCCTACTCAATATTGCACTCATTCACTGCATTTATTCAGTATGCACTCATTCGCCCCACTCATTCAATATTGCACTCATTCACTACATTCATTCATTATGCACTTATTCGTCCCATTCACTCAGTATGCACTCATTCACTACTGTACATTCATTCAGTATGCACTCATTCACCGCACTCATTCAGTAATGCACTCATTAACTACATTCATTCAGTATGCACTCATTCACCCCACTCACTCAGTAATGCACTCATCTTGACATTCAGTACAGTATGCACTCATTCACTCCACTTAGTAATTCACTACATTCATTCAGTATGGACTCATTCACCCCACTCACTCAGTAATATACTCATTTACACATTTAGTAATGCACTTATGGATTCCACTAAACTCAGTAATGCGCTCATTCTCTC